CAAAAGTCATCTGATTTCTTTAGGGTCTCCCTTAGAGAAAACTTCTGCAGACCTCAATTAAACAGTCGATTCAAGTAACAAATGAAACCGTTTACAAAAGAAGGTGAAAAAATAAAGAAGGTAATTACGAGATATATATATTTATGTCTAACCGTATAATTTAATTTCTACCTACATATTTATTCATTGTATTTTTGGGGGCAATTTGATGCTTATTTATTTATGTATTTATTTTACATACAGTAGAGCTGTTCCTCCATACCTAAAAAATCTTATCTGTGCAAAGCCTAAAAACAGATTTATGTAAACATCCTGTCAGTCAAACTAGGCCATGGAAATACAATATGGAAGTTTCACTACTGCTCTCTAATTAGAGTATCTTAGTGGCACATAGATATGGGAGAATTATCCTATAAAATCTATTTTGATAAGTCAGAAGCAATGCTGTTAGGTAGTGCTACTGTCCGGGACCTCCCCCCATAGCTGTTCCCTCACATGTTCCCAACATGGCTCCACCTACCTTAGAAGGAAAGTGTCCCCTAAATGGACAGATCTGTGGAGGCTTAACTTCTCTCCAACACTTAGGAAAATAAAGAGGGACTTAGAAAGGTGGTTTAACCTTCCCTCATCACTTATGGGGCGTAAAGGTTTAATTAAAATGAACATTTTCCCAAGACTTCTATTTCCCAATCCAATCCAAGGTCTATATATAATGCTAAAAATTATTCTAAGATTCCTTAGAGCTCTACAGCGTGAAAACGCATCGTTTTTGCACATTCAACGCCTTTTTTCCTGGTGTAGGGGGGCTCAAACGTTGGGCCCCAGCCTCCTTTGCGAAGCGAGCGCTCTACGGTCTGAGCTAATTCCCCCCGTGCTTCAGTCTCACTCCAGTGCTGCTCCTCCTCCTCCTCCCCCTCCCTGAGCACCAGGACGAGACGAATGGGGTACCTGAAGCTTCTCCTTTGAGATCCAGCTGCCGCCTTGGTTCTGGTCCAACTGGAGATCCTGGGTCAACCCGCCAAGCTGCTGGACACTCCTGAGAGAGACGGAGAGGAAGGTTCTGCTACCAGAAACCAGAACCTGGAGCTGGACTTTAAAGCAGAGCTCAGCTCTATGGGTCACAGAACATCTGGGTCAGACTCTGAACGTGGGTTAGACCCTGGTTCTGGTTCAGATTGGCAGATGAACAGGACCGGGTTCTGGTCCAAAAGAATCCAGATGGTCTGACAGTAAAAGCAGCAATGGTTCTGTTCTGGTACCTGACTTTAAGCATCGGTTTCCTCTGGTCCTGCTGAGGTTCTGACAGACCAGCTGTAAACCGCTCCAGTTGGATTCTGGTCTGGTTAAACTGGGCAGAACTCTGATCCAGTTGGACCTGAACATCCCCAACCTGCAGAGACACAGAGGCTCCCCTGGATTACTCCTGGTTTTAGATCAGAGATGAGATTATTTAGCTTCAGAATCAGATTTTATAATCCAGAATAGTTAATCCAGGTTATTTCACCCAGGTTAATAATCCAGTTACTACTCTAGGTTAATTAATCCATCTTAATTCATTCTTATTTATTTTTACAGGATAATTATTCTAGATGTGTTCATTCAGGTCAATACAGTTATTAATCAAAATTTATTCATCCAGATTTATTAGACCAGGTTCTAATTTATTAATCCAGAGTTATTAATCCTGGTCTATTGACCCAGCATGATTCACCCGGGTTTATTAAACCAGGTTTATTAATCCAGGTTAATTCATCCAGATTTATTAGTCCAGATTAATTATTCCAGGATAACTAATCCAGGTTAATTTATCCAGGATAACTAATCCAGGTAAATTAATCCCAGGTATATATTCCAGTCTAACCAGCCGGTTTGGCTCCTCCCTCAGACGCTGAAGCTCCTCCTCCAGCTCCACCTGTCGGTCCCTTAGAGCCTGTGCCTCGGCCCACAGCGCAGACAGCTGGACACAAGGAGAAGATGGAGAAGTGAAACGGCGTCTCCTCGCGATGCTTTGGCCTCTGATCAACCCCCTCACCTGTGCGTCCTCCAGATGCTTTGGTACCTGCTGCCTCAGTCCGCTCAGATACTCCTGAAGCCCACAGATCACCTCCTGAAGGTCCTTCTGCAGAGCCTCGCTGGCCAGCGTCTGACCTGAAGCAAAGGTTAAAGTCTTCACCTGAGAGCTCCAACAGCCAATCAGAAGGCTGGAGGCCCTGAGCTGCTCTGTGATTGGTTGTCCTAACCCCTGGTCAGCTGCTGCTCCAGCTCTCTGATCTCCTGCGTCTCCATGGCGATGCGTGACACCAGGTCGTCGAGGCGACTCTCCAGCCCGCCGTCCTTCCTGCTCATGATGCTCAGCAGCCGGACCGTCATAAAGTCCAATCAGCTCAGAGTCAACAAAGAATCTCTGAAATGATCGGATCTGAAAGTTAGACGTTAACTTTTAAAGGTTTGTCCTTTACGGCCACAGCCTGATATATCTGACTGCTGCAGTTCCAGCAGAGTTCTGATGAAAATGAAAAAGAGAGATCATATCTCTCCTATCCTGGCTTCTCTTCATTGGCTTCCTGTTAAATCCAGAATAGAATTTAAAATCCTCCTTCTCACATATAAAGCCTTAAATGGCCAAGCTCCATCTGATATCAGAGATCTGATTGTTCCTTATGTTCCTAACAGAGCACTTCGCTCTCAATCTGCAGGTTTACTAGTGGTTCCTAGAATTTCTAAAAGTAGAATGGGAGGCAGATCTTTTAGTTCTCAGGCTCCTCTCCTGTGGAACCAACTACCAGTTTTAGTCCGTGAGGCAGACACCCTGTCTACTTTTAAGGCTAGGCTTAAAACTTTCCTTTTTGATAAAGCTTATAGTTAGAGTGGCTCAGGTTATCCTGATCTATCTCTATAGTTCTGCTGCTATAGGCTTAGACTGCTGGAGGACATAGGGACCCCTTTTTCATCATTCTGCTTCATTCTATCTCTATTCTCCCACTCTGCAGAATCTGTTAGTTCAATCTCTAACGTTCTGCTCTCTCTGCTTTTTCTCATAGTAGCTTCATCTGGTCTGTTCCTGTTTGGCTGTGACTCCATCCTGGAGAGAAATATCAGCTGTGCTGCTGCCATCAACACCTTTGTTTCTAGATGTTGGAGCTTGGCCTGTTTTCCAGTGTAGTCCTGTTTCTCTGACTGTGACTAACTGGATGTGCTCTCTTCATCCTCTGACATGGGAGCTGGCTCGGAGCTCGTCTGCCTGGCTGTGTGTTTCCTGGACGGGGCCGCCTGTGGAGCTGGTTGACAGTTGCCTTTTGTATCTATGCTTCTTTTTCTATGTCTGCTTCTGTCTCCTTGAACCCCAGTGGGCCTCAGCAGATGGCCGCTCACACTGAGCCTGGTTCTGCTGGAGGTTTCTTCCTGTTCAAAGGGAGTTTTTCCTCTCCGCTGTCGCTACAAGCATGCTTAGTGTGAGGGATTGCTGAAGAGTCAATGAGTCGATGCAATCAGCTGGTTTTCCTTAGATAGAAAACTTTGAATCAATCTGACTGGATGATCTGGTGAACTGGAAAGTGCCTTAAGATGACATGTGTTGTGAATTTGGCGCTATATAAATAAACTGAATTGAATTGAATTAGATGGACTGGCGAACTGTCCAGGGTGGATCCCGCCTCTCACCCACTGACGGCTGGAGAGAGCCACCAGCACCCCTGGCGTGTAAGAAGATGGACGGATGGATGGATATTAATAACAGGAGGTGAAATGCAGCTCCAGACTAGCTTTGAATGTGGTGATGTCATCAGTACGCTGCTGTGCTAATGGACCTCCTGTTCTCCCAGAGTCCAGACTTTCCTGTGTTCTTCTCCAGAACAGACATGGTGAGAACGAGTCTGATCTCTTGGAACCAATTTTACTTTTTGATTTTTTATTAAAAGTATTTCCTATCCAGCTACACAGCAGCATCCCTCTGCTGTCCTCTTTAAGTCCCTTTGATTGTACAATGAGTGAGAATACAGCAGACTGTTCTGCCCCCTCCCCTTAGCTGGTCAGAGTCCAGGAAGTTCTGGAAGTCACCGTTTCATGCGTGTTTCAGGATGCGGGAATAAACCCGCGTGGGTCAACAGGCGGAGCTTTCAGCTTCTCTCAGTTTGTTTTTTACTTACAGCAGTTTCTTCTTCATCCTTTTTTTCACTCTCCGACATTCATCCCTTCTTCTTCTTCTGCTCCTCCTTCAATCTGTTGCTCTTCGAGCGACGAAGATGGCTCTCCCTCTTAGCCAATCAGAGAGGAGATAGCCATTCCGCCGTCCAATAGGAGAGAACAAACGGTCAGTTTTTCTTAAAGAGACAGTGACACATTTCTCTACACCAGCTGAAATTTCCATAAGAATCTACGGTGGATGTGAAAGAGGATCAGATTATGATTCTAGATTATGTTAATTTATCTTCTCACTGCATTATTTTAACCTGTTTCCTGTACCTGGAATATGTTTTTACACAAATACTGAGTTGGATGAGGCCATATTATTCAGTTTTATCACCTGAGTTGCATCATCCTCATCTCTAATCTTCGTGTTGAGATAGAATTTGAACAAGATACAAAATGAACCGACCAGAGGAGGAATATTAAAATGTGCAGAAAGAGAAATGATTGCTGAAATGATTCGAATGATCGAATCGAATCTTGGTGTATTCTTGAGTATTGAAAATAATCGAATCGTTGGGTCAGGAAATCGATACTGAATCGAATCCCCATGATGGATGTGATTTACACCCCTAGTAAAGACGTACACACGTTACTAAAAAAAAACCAGCCAAACTGTACGGCATGTTGTTCCCCCACATACTTCGCTCATATGTTTAAAATTTGCCGATTGGTCTTCACCGGGCATCTTGAATGCCCCGTCTAGTCTCGCGTAATGGCGAGCTAAACTCAAATCTTATGAACTGTGAGAGAGAGCGTATCTTTGACATCACTGAAGATAACGGGAAAAAAAAACACACAGATTTTAAGACAGGATTTTTTTTAAATATAAATTTTCTAACTTTTGGGACAATATCGTCTTATAAAGAGTACATTTATAGACATGTTTAAGCCAGAATGATTTGACATTTAAATAGGATTTCCCTGTGACTTTAATAATAACCAAGCATGTACCAGGCTCTCACCCATATGGAAGAGAGGCACCGGCCTCCATCTGTGGCCCTGACGGAATAACTGGGAGAAGGTGGATGGATGCATTTTTATCAGTAATTGGTTAAAAATTAAAGAAAAAACTCATTCAGATAAACTTTATTATTCAATACATAAAAAAATGCTGATATTGATGAGAATTTGATGAAAAGTTCTGCTGTTTTTTTTGGATATCATATTTCTTTTAAGATTGTGTTAATAAAACAGGCCCCGGTCCAGGAAGATCAACTGTGCAGAACCGTGATGGATCAGGGACAGCCGAACAGCTGCAGGTCCAGAGCGTAGCCCTCCAGCTGGGAACTGTAGTCCTGACACTCCGCAGACGTGCATGAGGTGGGCCAGAGCTCCACCAGCGCCTCAGAGTCCAAAGGCAAACGATACCTGCAGGGAAACAGGTGAGTTCTCAGCAAACACAAGACCAACTTAAGGTGAGGCTGAGGTGGAGGGACACTGACTTGATGCTGCCTCCATTTGTGACCTCTGACCCACTGGATCCCATCACCAGGTACTGCTTGTTGTTCTGCAGGTCGACCCCACTGCAGGTGGCCTTCTTTATCAGGTCCAAGTCACTCTGCAGACCAACTGCATCAAACTCTGCAGCACAGGAAAACAGCAGGAACCTGGTGAAAGACATAACCCAGCTCCCACTGAACCCTGCAGTCCAGAGTGTGATGATCCAACCCCCTCCCCAAAACAGTTTTTGAGAAGATCAGATGTTAAGCTAAGCATCTCAGAAGATAGCCGCCTCATGGTCGGCCCATTTCAGCCGGACATCCTGAGCTCCACCCTTCGCCTCGGTCCTCTGGTTGATGAAACATCCTCCTGGGTAACGAGCCATTCAGTGCAGCGACATCAGGAGGCCCCAGTGCCAAACCCCCACCCTGCTTTTTCCTTCGCTCACATTGAGGTAACAGTACAGATTCCCAGTCAGCAGGAAAGGCGAAGCTGTGGGGAATATCTGTATGGCAACACAATCCCAGCCTGAGTTACTCATACGATGACTTTTCACAGGAACTAATCCAAGTTTTCTGCCCAGTTCATCTCAGGATGAAGGCTTCAAGAGGATCCCTGAGTATATTTGGGAGCATGTTTTCGACTTCCATCTGCTAGCGTCAGAGAGTCCGTGGAAGGAGGCAGCTCTCGTGGACGTGTTTATCACCTGACTGAACGACAGGACCGAGGATGAACTCTTCACCCGGGAATACCCTCAGTCTCTGAAGGCGCTAGAGGATCTGGCTACTCGGATCAATCTTCGCATCCTTGAACGGCGCTGAGAGCGGAGCAACATTTTTTCTTTTTCTATTTAGAGGAAATTATTTACTTTCTGGACCTGGAGTCCCATAAAAAAACGCTGCTTCAGTCTTGCCAACTTCTCAGCAAGAAAAGTAACTACTAGCTGTCCTAAAAGGCACTAGGTGGCGCCATCGCCTAATTTCTAATTTGCATACTTCATGTCCTCAGGTTGCATGTCTGAACCCCTCCAATATATTTTTTTTTTGGGTTGTCTGTCCAAGCAGCGCAGAGAGATAGGATAGCAGGGAGGACGGAACGAGGGGATTTTAAGAGTTTTAGAAACAAAGAGAAAAAAACAGGAAGAAGAAGAAAGTAGCGGCAGTAAAAAGAGACGGGAGGAGCAGGAGAGGAGAGTTTTTAACTGACAACTGTCAGCTAAAATGTATTCCTATCATTCAGTTTTAAGGTCTAGGGAAAGATTAGCAGCAGCTTTGCACATTTCATTATAAAACTTTCTTTCCAAGTTTGAAGTCGTTTTGCTTTCAATCAAGGAAGCGGATGGGAAGCAAAACGTCTGCAAACTAAATCCAGTGGATTGTTTTTTTTTTACTTTTTTGGAATAACTGACCTGGATGACTGAGAATGTTCACCACATTCATTGGGTCTATCAATAAATATCACGTCTCCATGGTAACAGTCAGGGCCTCACCTTGACTTTTCTTAAGGACTTCAGCTATGGTGGCTGTGTAGGTCATAAAGTCCCCCTCTGCTGCTGAGGACTTCACCGTCACCTTGAAGGCTGCAGATGAAAAACAGCAGACACACGTTTTTACATGAACATAGGAAGTCCTTCTCCTCCTAATCTGCTGTAGATCATCCTAATATGAGCTGGACTCTCATGGCCTGTTCTACTAAAGGGACCCACGAAAAAAAAAAATATGAACACGTTTATTTCATGCACACAGTCTGTCTACTAAGCTGGTGAAATGAGAAATATAGGGGCAATCTCCTTGGTGTCTGGAGTATCAAAAAGCTTAAAATCCTGAGAGAAGGACATGCACCTCAGTAACCATGACGACACCCGGATTTGTCCAGCAATGAAAGACAAGAAACAGAGGAGCTGCTGAGAGTTTGGGACGTTCTGGAAGCATTTTAGGCTTCAAGAAGGGAAACCAATCAAACCATCAGGAAGCCCTGCTGCTGACGAGAACTTTTAAAGGCAAATCTCTTAATCATACCATCAGAATGATGCTGCCACTGCCATGCTTTACTGTGAGAACTCTGCTCTTCAAAGATCAGATTCCATCTCGTACAGCCGGCTTACCTCTGCGACTAAATTTACCAGACCTCATTTTTAAAAATTCAATGCAAAACGTGAATTCAAATTTCCTCCAAAAAAGTGTATTTTGTAAAATGTAAAAATGTGCGAAGGTAGGGAGACGATTGCATTACAAAAAGGAAAAAACATCATTTCCGTGATCTTATTTAAAGTGCATTTTATATAATTATCTTATTTTAGCAGCAAAATACTGAGATAATTTACTGACCTGCTTAAATGACAGCACACCTAGCTGAGCACATGTCTGAGCGCGGCGTCTCAACCGTGTCAGAGCTCCATGCTTCCTGCCAGGGGTGCACCCATTATCCACCGGCCGATCGAACAGCCTCGATTTTCTGAATTTTGGGAGATCGGTTATCGGCCGATACTTTTCCACCAATCTGATCTACATATAAAAATGTTCTAAAGTCCTCCCACTGTCAGTGTCTTAAAGTGCTGATGACTCGACGTTAATTTCATGTATTTATGTATTAATATTATGCTGCAAAACAAAGCAGTTGGTTCTGAGTTATTATTCATTTTAACACTAATAACCTCCATTCAGTATGGAGGATAAAAAGTGCCAAAATTAAATAAATAAATACAGCATTAAATAATTAATTAAATGTGGAATTAAATAAATAAATGTGTCATTCATTAATTAAAACCACGTCACTAATATAAAGTGCCACAATTAAATAAAGTAATAAACAATAATTAAATGTGTAATTCATTAAATAAATAAGGAATTAAATATATAAATGTGTCATTAATTTAATAAAATACGTCTTCATTTTATTGAAAATATATATATATAATTATTTTAGTGTGCATTTAATTATTTCATGGTCCTGTGTCGCAGTGCATCGAAACCATTAAAAGAATCTGTCAAACTCACCCATCAAAGTTAGGGGGCGGTTATCTAACACCTGATTGGTCACCCTGCACATTAAGGCGAAGCAAATCGATTACAGAGACTCGATTCGCATTAACCCCGCCCCCTAACTTTGATGGGTGAGTTTGGGTGAGTTTTAGCTCAATGCTACCCTCATGAGACCATCCTGATCTCGCGAGCTTTCAAGGTTTCACTTGCAGATCAGTCTGGAGACTCTCCGTTAAAGAAAATTTGGAGCCGTTCACCAAACGAACGTCCAATCAGCGTTGGCTTTGAGGCGGGTTGAGGTGTGACGCAACGAGAAGCGCCACAGTTCAGTCTAAAGAACATGGCGGCTTAAGCCGATGAAACTAGCGTTAGCGTGGCTATCGAGCAAGTTTTATCGGAATTACAGAGTATTTCTTCACTGAAAGAAGAGCAAAACACTGCTCTGGAGGCTTTTCTCAGAGGAAAAGATGTTTTTGCTCTTCATCCGACTGGTTTCGGCAAGAGTTTGATCTATCAATTGGCTCCTCTTCATCGTCGCTCTGTTAGTACGTCATATGCTTCGTTGATCTGATTGGTTTATTTGGCCCGTCTATCACCAACATAGGCCAATCAGCTAACCAGTATTTTCGCCCCTTCCCAAAATTACTTCAACGGAAGGTTTCCAGATGGATATGTGGAGCAAATCCATCTGGCGGAGTCAGGTTAGCTCAATGTCACATCATGTGGCGATAGCTGACTTTCCTACTTGTATTTCCTCTGAACTCTTGCAGCAGTGAGGAGTTGTCTACCCCGACATGCAGTCAGCATTTTAATTCTTCCGTGCGTCCCCCATTCTGCTCTGTTGTCTCCCGCCATCTTGTCCTTGATGCAACAATTGGCTCGACCAATGGGATGAAGGGATTCTGGATCATTACATATCTGCTGTCAGCTCATTGGTCACAACGCAGGACAGGGATGGGAACAAGTTTACCATAAGTTTTGTATCTAATGTGTCCTTGTTCTTCTTTTTCCATTAGCTTTTTACTAGCTTTTTACTGTAATACGGGACAAAGCGCGTTCCTTTACCACTAAATACGGGACAGGTATTTCTATTTCTAAATACTGAAAGATTCCTTTTTTCAAGGGACGGTTGGCAACCCTAACAGCAGCACCTGATTAACAGCTGGTATAAACATCTCTCAAGGGTGACGTCAGAGGGAGAACACTGCTGGAGCTAGCTTAGCATGCTATAATGGAGATGGGTGTGATGATTGTTCCAGAACTTCTAGTCTGGAATCAGCTGGTATGGTTGAAGCATCAGCCAGTTTAAGCTCGGGAGAGGGTAGTGATTCTGAGGGATATAGAAGCATCATAGCTTCCAGCATCCAGAGCGCAGCAGGCTAGGCTAACCGCACCGTGACGTCACCGCCAGTAGATGGCAGGAGGGAGTGGTTACTATATGGGCAAAAATGGCCGCTCCCAGACTCGAGACGAAAACTATTGTTTTTATTTCTTAACTCTAACGCTAAAGTCATTAAATCGTTTTGGGTATAAATAATGATCCATTGATTATTCCTTGCTGGCCGAACTTTTCCTTTAAAGATCGGGAATCGTAATCTGCCAGAAACCTGTAATCGGTGCACCCCTACTTCCTGCTATAGGATTTTTGTTGAGCTGGGTTTCATATGGTTTTATTTTTAGGTTTGACTTTTGGAGGTGGGCGCCGAACCACAACACCAGAACTACCTGTGGATAAATATAACTGCATGTTTTTTGTTTCTCAGATAATTTCTGGTTTAAATATTAGCTTATTTGTCCGCATTTAGCTCCACCTGATCCATTCGACCTTAACATATCAATCCAATGAGCAGCAGAAGGTCCCTGAAGCTTCAGCATCCATCTCACCATATTTGATGTGAGGCTGGCAGGTTTCCTCCGTGCGTCTGGCTGCTGTCAGGGTGGAGCTGACCTCTCCTCTGTAGGACGCACATGCAGCTGCACAGCCACAAACAGAGGAACAGTTCACACAAAGCCATGAGCTCCATCAGCAGCTCACACCTGATGTTACCTGTCATGCACTGACACTGCTCTCCCACACAGAGGCGCTGCAACTTCTGCTGCTGACCAGAGAACTGCTTGGTGCACAGGCTGCCTGGAAAACAGACCCACTGGATCACTGGGTTTAGTGGGAGCATGTGGAGAGAGTGCTGCCTGTTTCTGGTTATGAGTGACAGATCAGATCAAGTCCATCATATCTTACATTTGACCAAAGATTAAAGAAAAACACTGCATCACTGAAACGGAACAACTACATCTCCTAGCATTCACTGCAGGCCGTGACGCTCACCTTTGTCTGCAGGTTCTGTGACGGTTAACAACGACACTGTGGCGCCGACCACTCTGAACCTGGTTCTGACCCGAAATCCGACACAGAGGAAGATCTCTGAGGGAACCTGAACAACATTTGGAGAAATCAATCAGCTTCCTGATGGTTGCTGCTATCCGGCAGCCTCAGACATAGCCACGGCTACTCAATGCCAGCTTGGTCAGCAATGCAGTGTCCCCCCACCCCCAGGGAACAGAGAGGAGACAATAAAAGAAACGCCTGGACCCAGAGAGGTACTCACGGACTCCATCTGGATGATGATGGTGTCTCCTTGGAGCTCATAGTGGGAGATGACTGGATCCTCTGTTTCCATGAACTGAGGAGGACCAGGAAGAAAAGCTCAACAGAAAGTCAACAAGTTCTGATAAAATCCGATTTTTAAAAAGAAACATTCAGAGGGAATTGGTTTATCTCTGGTAGGTCAGCAGCATCTGAGGTAGTCATGGAAGCTGAACCGGTTTAGACTGCTTTGATCCAGTTGAACTTTCTGAATTAGCAAAACTATTGTCTTCATCTAAGCCTTCAACTTCGATGTTAGATCCAGTTCCAACCAGGTTATTTAAGGAGGTATTCCCTTTGATCTCCTCCTCCATTCTAGATGTGATTAATCTATCTCTGTTACAGGGATATGTACCTAAAGCTTTTAAGGTTGCTGGAATTAAACCTCTGCTTAAGAAACCGTCTCTTGACCCAGATGACTTGGTCAATTATAGACCTATATCCAATCTTCCTTTCTGATCTAAAATTCTTGAGAAAGTAGTTGCCAAACAAGTTTGCGATCACTTCCACCATAATGAACTTTTTGAAGAGTTTCAGTCTGGCTTTAGAGCTCATCATAGCACTGAAACAGCTCTGGTGAAAGTCACTAATGATATTCTCATGGCCTCAGATAGTGGACTTGTATCTGTGCTCACAGATTTTTTTGAAACTTCAAGTCAGATTGAACTTTGAATCAATCTGACTGGATGATCTGGTGAACTGGAAAGTGACCTGAGATAACATGTGTAGTGATCTGGCGCTATAGAAATAAATTGAATAGAATCAAAGGATCAGACCTGATTGTTGTTAACATCTGAGACAGCTTGGCTTCAATAACCATCATATTTAGATCAAAGATTCTGTCGGATCAGGTTCAGATTTGAAATCCTTCAAGCATCAGAACCTGAAACGGAGCAAAGCGTCTGGTTTCAGGGGCTCAGCGTTATCCTGCTCCTACCTGTCTCAGGTCCTCCAGGTAAGGCTCCACACCTGTGGGCAGCTGGATCTTCACCACAGTCAGAGTGGACTCTGTGTACACCTCGTTAGGAGGAGGTCTGTACCTGAAACACAAAGTTCACAGTATCCACCAACAGGTTCCCGCTGCAGCTGAGGGAACTGGTGTAGAATTTGGTTGCTTACTTCAAGCAGGCGACCAGGTGAGGAGCTTGCATGCTTGGACCTGTGGAGGAAAGGGAGGACATGAGGGGAAGGAGCAAGGATCCAAACGAAGCCTTGAGGCCTGAACGTACTGCTGGAGATGCCGCGTCCGACCACCTCGATGGTCAGATCAAAGTTACATCTGGTCTGGGTGGAGGCGGTGGTCTGATAGTAAACCGTCTTCATCTAGGAGCACAGACAGGACTGTAACTGGAGTCAATGTCCTCAGCAAGTCAACCAAAACAAGCCCCACCCACCTTTATGCTGGACACGCCCCTTCCATAGCCTGTAGACACGATGATGTCATCACTCTCTGTTATCTTCATAAGAAAAAGGAGTAGAAAAGAGTCAAGGACACCGTAGGATGCGCTCACACGTGGCTCCAGAAGCTGCTTCTGTCTCACCTGGATGGGCGTGGCCACAGGCCGGCTCTGGCTCAGCTGGACCTGCTGCAGCTGGCCTTTCCTGCTGTAGCGGATGCTGATGTCCTGGTTGAGCATGGCTCGAGGGATGACCTTGCTGTACTCCGTCACAGCCTCCAGAGTCAACACCAAGTCCTGACATCAAACGTCAGAAGAAGTGAGTTCTATCTGAGGTTCTGCTCATCAGTCTGAGCCGATGGTTGGAGAAGAAGTTTACCTTGGAGGAGTGGAAACCTTCTCCGTAGTTCTGATCCTGGGTCAGCCAGGACAGGATGGGGATGGCGTAATGGATCCTCCCCTTGAGCAGAGAAGAAAAAGCCCGTCCAGTTTAGAAGAGTCACTGTTACTGCATGAGCAGACGGAAGTGCCTCCCTCTACTGGCAAAAAGAGGAACTACAAGGGCATAAAAGAGCTTTGAACGTGTGGAGAACCTCCACCAAACACCATAACTCGAACTCCTTCATTGGGCTCAGTTCACTGAACATCTACAAGAAGCTTATTTCCCCATTGAGTTTATTTTCTGCCCCTTTAAACCCTAAAAACATTTCCAAATGTTTAGACTCTTGTTTTAAATCAGAATTACTTTAATAATCCCAGAGGGAGATTACTTAAACCGACCAGCTTCACCATTAATGGCGTCCAGGCGTGAAAATACATTTAAATACAATTAAAAAAGAAAATTCTCTTTGTGAGAATTTCAATGTTTGTTCAAAGTGGTTGGGTTACAGAAGGAGGTCAGGCTACTGCAGGTTCAAAAACCGCTGCCCTGTATAGGCAGGAATAAGTACTGCCATGTTACAGTTCACCTGAAAATAAACCAAAGCTTTAAATTCAAAGGTTGTAAATCAGCAGCTGCACCTTGAGCAGCACTGCCAGCAGGACGTAGGCTGTTGTCTCCACCGTCTGACCGCTGGATTCATCAGGCTTCACCCAATTGACCGTCACATCAGGCTCCTGCCAGTATCGACGCTCCACCGGGTTACCTGGACACACGTTCACAGCCGCTATCAGTTCACGCCACGCGGCCTTAGACTGACAGACGGCAACATGGCAACATGAGAACAGGTTGTTATTAGTAAAGAAAGAAAGAAAACAATATGAAAATGGAGATTCTTCATTTAAAACAGAAAAACACTTGAAATAAAACAAAATTTAGTTAAGTCATTTTTTCTGAAAATAAATGCATTTACTCTTGAATTGAGGAGGTAAGTGAAACACATTGCCAATGCTACAAGACAATGTACATTTAAATTAAGAAAAAACTATTCCATTGTCTTATTTTAAGTCTATATTATCCAATTATCTTATTTTAATAGTAAAAATCCTCATTCCATTGGCAAATCATCTTATTTAGCTAATCAAGTTAAGGGCAAATACACTTAATTTAAGACATTTTGACTTAATTCTAGATCGTTTTTGCAAAATAACTAAAAGCTGAAGATTGAAGAAAGCCAATCATCTGACAATATAAGAGTCAATCTTCATCTTAAATAAGCTAATGCTAAAAATCATATCCTGTTTTGAGCCTCTGATGGGAAGCTTTTGGCTTCTGGTTGTAACTGTTTTTATTGTGCATCTATCAGACTGTGGTGGGCGACCGTCTCAGAGTTTTGAAGATGTGGGTTCAATATGTACCTTAACCTGGTCTTCAAACTTTAGAGACATGGGACCAACCCATTGGTCTAATTGGTCCAGAGCAGCGCTAACCAATTAAAGTCGTAGGGAAGCGGCCGTTCCAACCGTTATATTTCCGAATTCTCCCGAGTGGTGCACGACTTTACACGAGGTTTCGGGGAAACCTTGTTTGAAGAAGTTGCCATGTTCGTCAATAAAGTCAAGACTTTACACGAGTGAATAAATTGAATGTGATTGGTCGTTTATCAAGGGGGCAGGATTGTTGTAGCAAGTTTGATTGGGGCCAGTTTTTCGGAAACATCTTGCTAACCAGTTAGCAACTTAGTGCTAGTAGGTTTCAACCATTGCGTAAATTAGCTGCGAAATATGAATCAAGATGCTATAACTGAAGAAATTTGATTGACAGATGACCATTGATAGATGATTGGCCGAATTTAGGTGTTCAGGTTGACGCAGAACTAACTGGCCTGCAGAAGATAATGAGAAAACACAGATTTTAAGACATTTTTTAATAGAAATTTTTTAACTTTTGGGATAATATCTTCTGATAAAGAGAACATTTATATACATGTTTAAGCCAGAATGGTTTGACATTTAAATATGATTTCCCTACAACTTTAAAATAAGGTTTTATTTCCTGATTAGTTGCAAGTTTTCCACCCAAGTAAACATCTTCCATAACGCAGAGGTCTTTCTGAGCCTCCTGTCCTTGGCTCACCTTTCTGTCGAGCGTGCTGCTCCAGGTAGGAGAGCAGCTCCATGGCCTCCACGCTGTTGGGGTCTTGAAGAGTCAGAGCGTAGTTCGCCAACGCTCGCAGGTACATCCTCTTCACAATCAGGGCATGCTTGGAAAGGTACTTTGCTGCTGCTCGCTTGCTGTCCTCATGAGACTGAAGGAGAACAGAAAAGGAGAGGAATACGAAGCCGAGGGGAAAAACCCTCCGCTGTTATCCCTGATAATGGTGAAGTTGGAAACAAACTGAAACCTTTAACTGGATTTAAGAGGAGGACAACAGATTCAGGTAAAACCAAACAAAGCTTTCTGATTTCCAGCTCCTCTATAAAATAATAACTTTTTTTAAGTTCAGTATGAAAGTTTTAGCTAGTATATGACTTCCTGTCTCCTGGGGTATAAATCCGACGGCCTGGGTGAGCATTTCTCCTGTACCTGTTTGGGATGATGATTGTTGACCTTCATCACTCAGGAAATGGCAGAATATCTACTTGGATCTGTCGATTCAGGATAAACCAAAAAGGCTTTTAAGAAAACATTTAATTGAGGAAAGAAGGGAGCGGGAGATCGACAGGCAGATTGGTGCAGCGTCTGACGTGAAGCGGGTGCTGTACCGTTCCGTCGTGGTGAAGGGAGAGCTGAGTCAAAAAGCGAAGCTCTGGATTTACCGGTCGATCTACGTTCCTACCCTCATCTATGGTCATGAACTCTGGGTCATGACCGAAAGAACGAGATCGCGGATACAAGCGGCCGAAATGGGTTTCCTCCGTAGGGTGGCTGGGCTCTCCCTTAGAGATAGGGTGAGAAGCTCGGTCATCCGGGAGGGACTCGGAGTAGAGCCGCTGCTCCTCCACGTCGAGAGGAGCAAGTTGAGGTGGCTCAGGCATCTGGTTAGGATGCCTCCTGGACGCCTCCCTGGTGAGGTGTTCCGTGCACGATCCACCGGGAGGAGGCCCAGGGGGGAGACCCAGGACACGCTGGAGGGACTATGTTTCTCGGCTTGCCTGGGAACGCCTTGGGGTTCCTCCTGAGGGGCTGGAAGAAGTGGCTGGGGAGAGGGAAGTCTGGGCCTCCCTTCTTAGGCTGCTGCCCCCGCGACCCGACCCCGGATAAGCGGAGCAAGATGGATGGATGGATTTAATTTTCCCGAAGAGGAGAAATGTCTCTGTCAGGAAGCTATAGCAGAGCATCATGAGGCTATTGAGTCTCCATGACAACCATAGGTCGGGGCGGGATGTTTGAGCGGTAACATTGGTGTGCTGCCTTTTGTTGGTCGAATACCGCAATAGGGTGCCCCCTGGTGGATATTTTGTTGTTATTTTGGTCACATTAGATGGAACATAGATATCCATAATAAAGGCTAGATGTCTTACGGCGGAGTCTCAAACGTCATCACCGGGCGGCCATCTTACCACAGGCTTTCTGTTGTGCTCTGTGGTACTTAATGTAAGGTGAGTGATCAGCACGGACACAAATACTCTTATCTCATTGAATTCTTGACGGATTTACAAACAGTTTGGTTTCTTACAAACGTTATGAACGTGGCTATAATTCTTGATGCTTGAACATGACGAAATAGCAGATTTTCTTGTCGAAAAATGACTTGATCGTGCAGCATAGTTGTGCATCACGGTTACTTGCGCAAGTTATCAATAACGATTGTATGACAATTAATCTTTAGTGTAAATTACAATCTTTGTGGATGTGGTTGTAGCTATTAGTTGGCTAATAACAATAATCTGAGTGTTGTTGTATTTTCATTATTAGCCTAACGTTAGCTGGCTAATAACAAGAAGCTACGAAGTGAGACCTAAAGTTAGTAAGTTAGCAGCTAACGTTACAGTTTAGCTAGCTGCTAACGTTAACCAGCAACTTTGCATCAGTGGAAGAGGCAGAATTTATACATGATTAATGCATGATTTCCAATCAATTTGGTTTGTCAAAACATCTTACATTATGTTACAGGAATTTGCTGGGTCTATTAATAGGAAGATGCCAGACTTTTGTGCTGCCTACGGATGCTCCAATCGCCGTAGTGTCAAAACGAGTGCCAGTGGGATCACCTTTCACATGTAAGATATGAAATTATGATTGGTTTTTGGGATAATCGTTAGTTAATTAGTGGATGTATGTACAATACAGGCTCTGGTACACAGGAACAGCGGGGCTATGACTTAATAGTATTACAAGATTGCCAATAGTCAAAACCTGAGGGAAATCAATATCCCAATGGCCCAAAAAGATAAATGTTCCCTTAATTTCCCCATGGTTATTATAAATTATTTTAATAATACAACTCTTATTTCAGGATTTGTTGTGCGACGGGCTCTGAAAAAGCTGTCCTGTGATGTCTGCCGTGCCAGCTTGGTAACAGATGCTGCATCTGCCATCAAGGACCAGAGCTACCACCTAGAGGTGGGCGGATCGATCCCAGGATCGATACTATCGATACCAACGCTGGTATTTATATTGAACAATATTCGTTTAACAAGATCGATACTTTTTATCCTCTCTCGCGCGCGCTGACTGCTGCGGAGTCACCAGTTTCCCCATATGTGTAACAGCACTTTGCTCCCCCTCCCCTCTCCTACAGTCACATGGCTCAGCGGCGCCAGCCAATCAGCGCGCAGGCTTAGCTTGGCCTGCCCACTCAGCACTACGTCACACAGACAACCGCGCTGCCGGTTGCTGGGTGAGTGCTCACTCAGACTTGGATGGAGAGAGAGACCAAAGACCCGCCTCCAGCCTCAGACAGACATCTTTGACCCAAGCGTTTCAGTCCTCCAGAGAATATCCAGGTAGATAACAGTGGTCATCGTCTGCAGCACTTCATTATACATCATATATTACTCAGAAAGTGTAGTTAAGACCTTGAAAAAACCCAGTACATTTATCCCATTAAAAATTGTTAGCTAAAATAAGCTAACATTAGATAATCTCTTATTTATTCCACGATTGAGAACTTTATAGAAAAAAAGCAACAGGCAAGTGCAGCTTAAATGTAAAAAGTATCGGTATCGGTATCGATATCGGCGATACTGACCCAGTATTTACTTGGTATCGGATCGATTAAAAAATCCCGGTATCGCCCACCTCTACTACCACCTGCTGAAGTTAAAAAACAATGGAGGTCTGGTGATTCCATCAGAAGGCACAGTGATGGTAGTCAGGGCAGCAGAGTGGGTTCTTCGTCAGACCTCATGTACCAGACGATCACAGCCCATCAAAGTGCTAGAGGTCGTGTACATTGTACGGAAGAGGATAGGGTCAGAGGATGTGTTTGTGCTTGGAGAGCACATCGGAGAAACGCGGTATGGCATAGACAGCCACCACCATACGCTGTTAACATTGGTTGTGTCCTTGTTTTTTAAGCTAAGGCTGCACCACATTGCCAAAATAACCAACCTTGGCTTACAGAGCAACAACATGCGACAGAAACACAATAAAACCGTCCTTTTCAAAGGGCATTAACCAAGCTATGTTTTTTGGGTCATTTTTTCATCTCTGTCTTCCATGTGTATACCATCACAGTAGTGTAGGTGGGGATTTCAACATGCTACATCTATATATACTTGTGAAGGGGACTATTGTACCAATTTTAATAGCAAATAAATTTCACTTTTATAATGGTTTAAAAATAGGAACTTTTGTGTAATTACTGATATATAATCCGAATAGTCTACATGAAACTTCACAGTGTAACCTTTAATTTGAAACCTGGATTATGATTCTACACCAAGAGGTTGCCACACAATAAGCCTTTTTTGTCAGTATTTCAAATTTATTATAACAGTAATATTTATATTATAAAAGTATTTATGTAAATATAAATAAATTAGGACTGTGAAATAATTAATCACACTCAAATAAAAGTGTTTATATATATATATATATGTATTATAATATATATATATATATATATATATATATATATATATATATATATATATATATATATATATTTTATATACAATATATATATTATTTATATTATATATATATATATATATATATATATATATTTTATATATATACAATATATATATATATATATATATATATATATATATATATATATATATATTATATATACAATATATATATATATATATATATATATATATATATATATATTATATATACAATATATATATATATATATATATATATATATATTATATATATATTGTGTATATACATTATATATAAAATATATATATAAATATATATTTCTGGGACCATATATATATGGTTGCTATTCTGTACACTGAGTTTTAATAGCATATATTGATTTAACATAAATACCTTGTGCATGTGTATATTTATTGCACCTGTATGTTCTATTCAGTGTTCTTTTCATATGAAATTCCATGGTTATAATTATTCCTAAGTGTGCAGTATCATAACTACATGTCTGACTTTTGTTTAACAAACCAAACAGTTTGAGAATAGTTAGACAATTGAGGAAGTTATGGTTATTTCAGTACATGCGCCATTGAAACACAATGCTACGAATGAGCGAGCTGCCTGTGGTAAGATGGCCGCCACGTGCGGACGTCGACCCCCATTGGCCAGCAGCGCGGACGAGACATCTAGCCTTTATTATGGATATCTATGAGATGGAAGGTGTAGATCCAAGATGGCGGAACGCAGCACCGAGCAGCTGTGGAATTGAGCTGATTGTGATCTTTCATGTTATGTTTCAGACAAGATTTGTTCGTAAGTATTGGTTAATTGTGAAAACAACAGTTTTTTTGCTTTATGTAACCGTCTTGTAAATAATATTACACTGAAGTTATCTATGAAAAATGTTTTATTTTAGCTTGCAGCAAGAATGACTGGCTAAAGCGATGGCAGTGGTCAGAGGCCACTCTTCAACAAACGACTACAAAGAGAAAGAAGTTTGAAGCGTCGTTGTCTGGCTGTCTAGCTTGCTGAAAAATCAGGAAAATTCAGAGCGAGGACAGCGCTGTGGGGGACAAACCTTCTCTGTCCTACCATCACAAACATAAACCTGTGGTGTTTCCTAAATTTGGCTAAGAGTTCACATTCTGTCCACTGGTGGCTCTTACTCTGAGCTGTAGGATGGGGTCTCTGATGCTCGTCGCTCGGTGAAGGGCCATCAGCACCAAGGAAGTCACGTAAACCGACTGCTCCACTTTATCGATCCCCTCAGCCTGAGAAACACCACGCAGATTTTACGGTCAATGGCCTGAACCTGTAGACATGAGAAATGAACCCAGGAGACCCAGACTGACCATGAACTTGGAGTTCTTGGGGGGAGCTCTTTCTATGAAGGAGCCATCTGCCTGCTGAGTTTTGCGGATCAACCAGCTGACAGATTCTGAGAGAGATTGATGGTCGACCTTTACAAATGAGTCTGCCATAGACAGCGTCCTGACCACCTCAGCGGTGACCCTGGCAGACAGCGCAGAGGGACAAAACACCCACTGGTTTAGTAGTAGTTAGTCCAAAACTAGCAGATAAAGACCGATTGACAGTTACAGATAAATACCTTCAAAGGTTTCAATGGAAACTTAAAGATGAAAGAAAAGGATTTTGATGTTTGGTCGAATAGTCAAAGTCAGGGGCGGATCTAGGGGGGGGGGGCTACTTGGGCTACAGCATCGGATGTTTCCCCAAGAGCCCCAGATCTCAATTCTGAGCTGATCTGAGTAAAATGTGCAGTACTGGAATTCACCAGAAAGTGGCAGTATGCACAGGAAAGCTGTAACCCTGTAGAATTCCCGTGCAGAAGAAAAATTGTTTCCCTCTCATCGCTGCCAGCTTTTCAGGAGTCGAAAAGTTTTTTAAACGGATAGGCGAGTTGTGGATATCTATTGCTGCTGCTTTTTCAAAAAGCACCACCAGCAGCACCAACAGCAGGGCCCTAATGCCAGGTTTTCAAAAACCTACAATGCAGCGATAGAGTTGATTTCTTCCTGCTATGATCGCAGCCCCCATCATTATGCAAGGGATCAAAACATCTCACCTGGTCAGCCAGGCCAGCAATGACCCTAATGACTCCCTTAACTGAGGCATGGGCCAGTATCGTATTGAAGGCCAACAACGACCTCAACGACTCCCCATTAATGAGCTGTTTTTTTTTTTTCTCTCTGTTCAATGTTCAAGTTTTCTAAGCCATAACAAGGCTTTTGTTGGGCTACTCTATAAAGCCTGGAACTAAATGCTAATCCAGACATTTTGAATTGAAAAAGCTTCCTGGATGGGAAGCAAATCGTCTTCAAACTTGGAAACAAAGTCCAGTGGATTGTTTTTTTTTTTTTACTTTTTTTATTTGGGAACAATCAGATGGTCAAGGCTGCAAATGATGGTGGCCTGAAAGGACCATTTGGTTTTGGAATAAAGAATATCTTCTTATTGCCACAAAACACTGAAAACACTGTTTCTTTTTCCACCACCGTACCACAGGGAGGCACTTCTCTGCTGTGTCAGCAATGACACTAAAACTACAGGTTAGACTGAATGGGAGGAAGACACTGGGATTGTCATTTTCTACCATGAGCTCCAGAGCGGAGACTCTGGTTGCCAGAAGGCCGCCTCAGGCTCCCACTGATTCAGCTTTATAATTTGTAGATTATCAAATTCTTTGTTTATTAAAACACATTTTATTTATAACTCTCATGATTTTGGCACCGATGGCTGGCTTAATTGCTCATTCCATTCACCTGTCTAACTCTGCCCAGTTGATCATCACCGCTCATCTGATCCACCTGCTCCTGCCTCTATTTACGGTACTTGCATCTAGCTATCAGTGCCTGATTAGTGCTCTAGTTCTGGTTCTCAATGGGGTTTTCAGCATGTGTTTGTGATTACCTGATCCTGACTTGTTCTGCCTCTCAGCCACTGAGGCTCTTTGTTCCCGTCTGAACGGGTTGCCTGGACTGTCCTCAGACTCCTGGAACTCTGAGCCTTCCTGTCCTGATCTGTTTCCCTGACCCGGCTCAGACTCCTGCTTGTTTTCCGGAGCTGTAGCATCTGTAACACTCTGGGCGGCTCCTGTTGGCAGCCCACCGGATGGATCCTACCTCATTCTCTCCCGATGGACTGAACTGTTAAACCAGAGCTCCAATGATAGGCGCCCTAGCCACTATTACTGCAGATCCAGTTTCTGTTTAATAAACGCTCTGAATTATCCCACACTCCGTCTCACCTTGAATACTGGGTCCTTCTGTCTTGTGTCATGACATTAACAGCAGTTTAAGATTTAAATCAGGGACTTTTGCTCTATATGCTGATGACATGCTTTACTTCATAATCTTATATTCAGGAAAGAAATCATTTTTATTTTTAACAACCTTGTAAGTTTTTAACAAAAGACCATTTCATATTAGGGGAATCACCCTGGCTTTCAATGTGAAGAACACATGCAGTAAGGCTGGATCAGGAGTTGTTTAAGTCAAGTATCTTTCAGTATGAGCTCTGATTTGTCCAGCCTCCATTTTTTCTTATTCCCTCCTAGTATATGCTAGAAAAGATTGTAAATTACCATTAGTAATATCCAAAGCTGTCAATGATCACCGCCCATCTGATCTAATAGAGCCACTTATCAAAATCACTGATGCTCAGTTAACTGCTCTACTTCTTGTTTCCAAAGCATCCAAGGTTTCGTTCTACATTTCTTAGCTCTACAGGATGAGTCAGTCTGCCTGTTCTGAGGGTTTGAAGGTTTTGATCACTCACAGGGTACTGGATTCAGTCTTCATCCACATGCTGTAGCTGAAGTCTCCATTTCTGAAGGACATGAGGGCCGTCTGACCTGGAGATACATAGACGTAAACCATTGGTTTCTCTGGAAGAAATCTCCATCAGCTCCTTAATTAGCTACCCACCATCTTTGATCTTTTGCCTCAGCTCCTTGGCGTTCTTCTTTATGTCTGCTCCCAGCATATCCCAGCTGCCACTGGTCTCCAGGTACTGGTACACCTGGACAAGGGGGAGGAGTCTCTCTAGTTCTGCTACTGCTGACCCAGAAGGAAAGTTGAGAATCTGTTTGAGACCGTCGGGGTCTACAATGACCGATACGACTTCTCCTGGAAGCTCCCCTGTTTCATAGGACCAAACATGTTTGATCAGACGGAGAGCCCGGGAAACTTCAGCAGGAAACATTTTGCTTCTTCATCTCACCATTAATGGTCAACAGTCTCTCCACAGCCGAGTTGGGAACAATGTTTTCTGGCAGGATGGTCTTCAGCACCACTCTCCTCTTCTCTGAGCCTGAGAGGGACCCAGGTGAGGATTTTAGGAACCAGTGACCTGTGATAAAGCATGTTGGTCCTCTTACCGTAGACTCCTTGAGGATCAAGTATTCCCCCAGAGTTCACCACCTGTCTCACTCCTTCAGGCTGCAGAAACAAGCCAAGCAGATTAGATTAGATGCACTTATTTATTAATGAACATCATCCAGAACTCATCAACGGATGGATGTGTTTCTAGATGTGACACTAAAACTACAGGGTAGATTGAATGCAGAGTGCAGAAGAACCGGGTTAACAACCAGCCAAACTCCAGCAGCGAGGATCATGTCTAGTGGTTGGGGCATAGGTTAGGAATTCTTAAGGTTCTGAGTTCAAGCCCCACTCCCACAGACTGCCACTAGGGCTCCCTGAGCAAGACCCTTAACCCCATACTGCTCCCTGAGTGCCACACAATGGCAGTCCACCGCTCCCCAGGGGAATGGGTTAAATGCAGAGTTAATTTTGTTGCTCTGTACTTGTGATGGTGGAATGACAATAAAACAAGGTGAAAAGCCGTAATTTTAATTTTCAGATCCCGGAAAAGACATCTTTTTAACGTCTATAATTGATTAATTTGGGACAACATTGGACTGACCAAACAGCCACATTTTCAAAAATGATTTCCTAACTATTGACCAGATTTAGCCTAAAGACCAACATCTGACTGACATCTGGTATTCAGTTTGACTGGATGATCTGGTGAACTGTATCTGTAAAGTACCTTGAGATGACACGTAGGAGCCATAAATTATTATATGTTCATCTTGTGCTCTTCTAAAACTTTTCTCACTCTGTCTGGGGGTATGTGCATGCACATGTGACGTCGGTGGACAGAGTCACCGTTATCTATGGGTGGCACCATGGGTGTGGTGTCATTTTATCAGTTTGTGTGCTCACATGGGTTCAACATTGACCTGGATTATGGCGGCTGGGTGAGGTTACATACCACTACCCGCAGAATCTTCTTCACAACGTCTCTGAGTCCTGACTGTGTTGTGAGGGTGAAGGTCAGGGTGTGTTCTCCAGGCTCTAGGCCCATCAGGGTAAAGGTCACTTTAGCCACCCCTCTTGCAGGCAGGCGGCTCCAGGAGGAGCAGGTCGTGATGTGGTGCCCTGCCTCCTTGGTGCTCGGTTTGGACTTCAGCAGGCAGATTGCTGGACCAGCCGAGAGGGTCACACAGTACTGAGAGTTAAAGGATGCCATAAGTCAGACAGGCAGTGAGGTATTTCCTCTCTTTTTCACACTGAAGAACCTCATAGATCAGGGGTGGGCAATTCCTGTTCCTGGGGGCCAGTATCTTGCAAATTTAAGAGCCATCCTTGGTCCAACAGTTACCTTCTCAGTATGCTGTCGGTTCTTCAAATTATGTAATTGCTTTATTCAGGTGTGTTCAACCAAAGGCACATCTAAAAGTTGCAGGATACCGGCCCCCAGGAATGGCTCCCATCATCTTTTAATTGAACCAACGCTACACTGATGAATCTGTAACTTTTATGGGATATACAGCTGAACTAACCATGATCTCGTCATACTCCTGGTTGTAAACAGAGCCCTCCAGCTCTAGCTGTTCTCCCCTGACCACCTGATAGGGCAGTGGGACATCCACGCTGAGCGGCAGACTGACAGACACCTCCGCAGGATCAGCCACACACATTCCTGACAGACACACAACCAGATTTATTCAAAGGATCAGTTTCTACATGCAGCAGCCTTCAGTTGGCTCTATAGGAACTTTAGAGAATAAGGAGGTTCATTCGAAGTGTTCCCTAAACAGACAGTAGTATGGGAAGAAAGAAGGGTATGGTGAAGGTAAGGATGTGTAGAAACAGAAACATACCGCCCTCAGGGGACATTCCAATTGCTTTTACCACCCAGGTGGTCAGAGTGTCTGGCAGAGACCTGGACACAGACAGCTGACCTGATCTAAAGACACAAACATAGAAGCTGATGAAAATACTCCAGCTGATGGAGCAATGTTATAATTTTCTCATCATCTTCTTCTTCTTTCCCATCGCCCGGCTTGATACACGTTTGCTTGCTGTGTCTAAAAGGCCCGGATTAGCCAGCAGGTGGGTCCGGATCCAGACAACGGTCCGCTAATCTGTCACCTCCGCTGTAGATGATACTGCTATTGGCTATTAAGCTATTGGCTTTGTTCAAAATGTGAATAGTCCCACACATTCTCATCATCATACTTTGGATCTTGTGCTGACATACGGCATAGAATGTGAAGAAATAACAGTATTTCCTCACAACCGTGTCCTCTCTGACCACTTTTTTAATTCAGGATTACTTTAACAGAGTTCTCCTCCCCCAAAAGAAGGGTTCACTTTAGCAGATCTTTATCAGATAGTGCAGTTATAAATTTTAAAGAATCTGTTTCACTGTCTCTCTCCTCTGTGTCGCTGAGCACTGCTGCAGAGTGCAAAAGCATAGCTTATTCCCCTTCACAGGTTGATGAATTTGTCGATTGGGTTGCTAGTTCTCTGCGTACTGCCTTAGACAACGCAGCTCCTTTAAAAACGAAATATCGCTCCACAGGCCTGCGGGAGTCCTTCCTAGTCTGGAAAAAATGGTTTACTGCTGTATAAGAGGACCCTTTGTAAAGCAAGAGCAGCATATTTCTCCTCATTAATAGAGGAGAATAAGAATAATCCTAGATTTCTTTTTAATCCAGTTCCCAAACTCACCCAGAGCCATAGCTCTGTTGAACCGTCCATTCCACCTGCTCTTAGCAGCAACGATTTTATGGGATTCTTTATAAATAACATTGATATTATTAAAAATAAGATCATAAGCACTCCTCTATCCACGATTGGTTTATCTCTGGAGGGGGGGGGGCAGCATCTGAGGTAGTCATGGAAGCTGAACCGGGTTTAGACTGCTTTGATCCAGTTGAACTTTCAGAGTTAGCTAAACTATTGTCTTCATCTAAGCCTTCAACTTGTATGTTAGATCCAGTTCCAACCAGGTTATTTAAGGAGGTATTCCCTTTGATCTCCTCTTCCATTTTAGATTTAATTAATCTATCTCTGTTACAGGGATATGTACCTAAAGCTTTTAAGGTTGCTGTAATTCAACCTCTGCTTAAGAAACCGTCTCTTGACCCAGATGACTTGGTTAATTATAGACCTATATCCAATCTTCCTTTCTTATCCAAAATTCTTGAGAAAGTAGTTGCCAAACAAGTGTGCGATCACTTCCACCATAATGAACATTTTAAAGAGTTTCAGTCTGGCTCTAGAGTTCATCATAGCACTGAAACAGCTCTGGTGAAAGTCACTAATGATATTCTCATGGCCTCAGATAATGGACTTGTATCTGTGCTCGTCCTGTTGGATCTCAGTGCTGCATTTGATACTACTTTTAGTTGCTATTTTTTTGGGTCTCAGTTGTTCAGTCATGATCCACATCTCCTATACCCACCCTACTGTGGGCAGGGGAGCCTTAGTCAGTGCGGCCAACCTTTACTTATAAAGTTATGAACCCCAAGGGGAGTGGCAGCCTAGTGGTTAGGACATTGTGCTTGGAGTTCAAGCCCTGCTCAAAAAGGGCTGCCACTCTGGGTCCCTGAGTAAAGACACTTAACCCCACGCTGCTCCCCGGGCGCTGCACAATGGCAGCCCACTGCTCCCCAAGGGGATGGGTTAAATGCAGAATGAATTTTGTTGTACTTGTGACAGTGTAATGAAAATAAAGTTTAATTCTTCCTCTAACTCCCACCCTCCCATAGCTCCAATATAAATACAACTTTTTTTTGCAAAGCCCAGTTCTTCGGAACCAAAAGAAGAGAAGAAATTACTTTGCCTGTTGAATTGATAAGTGCTTAGAAAGGGAAAAAAAACACATTTATCTGTTGCTTCATTTAAGCTTGTTGGTTTTCACGCTCCATGTTACCTTGCAGGCAGCACCTCCCACAGCCAGCTCTCTGGGAAGTAGCTTCTCACCAATGGAGCCTGATCAAAATCTGCGCCCAGTTCTGGAGAAACAATCCAACTCAGCAGTTACAGGCTGGCCAGGACAAAGGGGACTCACTCCATTAAAGAAAGATTTGAATGCGTCTGGACTCACCATGGCGTCCCAGGACGAGCCTGTTGTTTTGGTCCACATTCTGCTGGATGTACTCGCAGCACTCAGTGAAGACTCTCTTGCAATCTTCCTTGAAATTTTTGACTCTTCTGAAGAGCTGGTCAGCAAACTGTTGGCAGCTCACACTCTTTGGGATGTATTTCATTCCCTGTATACAGCACGGCCTCTGAGGACCAAAACTATTGGCTGCAGAAAGACAGACATGGACAGAACTCTGACTCTGATAAGTTTCTCGGTTATCGGCCTGGACCTTGCTTCATGAACAGAACTGATCCATTAATCTGCCCCGCCGGGGTGTTCCTCTCAGCAGGATTTGCCCCAAAGACACACCTCAAAAAGTGTGTGGCAGGGTGGCAGCATGGTCCTGATAAGATCTTAATCAAACCCAACAGGCACAGAAACAGCCTTCTCCAAGTTTATGAACGAACATAGAAAAGTTATGCAGAGGAGCTGAGCAGGCGGTACTTAAAGATAAAGCTGCTCTTAGGATTCCGGGGCTGCTGGAAGTGATTTTGAACTGGGGGTGCATTCACTACTTTATTGTCATGTACACTTCAGTGCACACAACCAGGGTCTGTAGCACACAGACATCATCAGTTCCCAGGTGAATATATGCGCTATTAATTAAACTTCACAATAACCTTATAACAACTAGGGCTGAAATTAGCGATTATTTTGCAAATCCATTAACTTGTTGATTCCTTAAAGAAGACTTTTTATTAGATTAAACCAAGTGAAACTAACAGGATTCTGCTCGAGGAGTTCTGGATAGCATTTTGACAGATGAAAAAGCTTTTTTATCTTAAATGCATAATGTTTATATAATTGTTTTACTTTTACCAAAAGTAACTGTGGAACCAACTACCAGTTTTAGTCCGTGAGGCAGACACCCTGTCTACTTTTAAGGCTAGGCTTAAAACTTTCCTTTTTGATAAAGCTTCTAGTTAGAGTGGCTCAGGTTATCCTGAGCTATCTCTATAGTTCTGCTGCTATAGGCTTAGACTGCTGGAGGACATAGGGACCCCTTTTTCATCATTCTGCTTCATTCTATCTCTATTCTCCCACTCTGCAGAATCTGTTAGTTCAATCTCTAACCTTCTGCTCTCTCTGCTTTTTCTCATAGTAGCTTCATCTGGTCTGTTCCTGTTTGGCTGTGACTCCATCCTGGAGAGAAATATCAGCTGTGCTGCTGCCATCAACACCTTTGTTTCTAGATGTTGGAGCTTGGCCTGTTTTCCAGTGTAGTCCTGTTTCTCTGACTGTGACTAACTGGATGTGCTCTCTTCATCCTCTGACATGGGACTAAAAGCAACAGTAAAATAAATAAAAAATGTCAATACAATTTCCCAAAATATTCATGAGAAATGTATAAATTGTGCAAAGCATTATTACATTTTTTTTTATATGTCCTTCTCGCCACCTGGGGGTGCTGTATCACCCCTAGTACCCCCACTTCCCGTGGCCATGCAGGACTCTGCCTTGATGTGCATTACCTTTTGTTTTGGTCATGTTAAGAATCCAGTTTGTGTGGGTTGTTTTTTATGGTGCCCTGTTCCTCGTTGGGCCTTCCTGCACACTTGCAGCTCGTTGGATCATTACCGGAGGAGTATTTGAGCAGCGGACTGTCACTACTAGAGTGTTTGCCAGTTTTGGGTACTCTAGCCAAGCTGAGATTAGCAGAGTCTAACCGAAGCTTTGTTTCTCTGAGTCTAATCTTTATTTTGTCTTTGCTCTTCGGCAGGAAGCATTTCCCTTGTAACTGGATAACCTGGACCTTCTCCCCCTGGAATGATTACTGAGTACACACTGAGCAGGGGTAAACCTCCACATGATCCATTCAAGTCCTCATCGGAAAACCAAGTGACAGTCCGCTCCTTTACTCCTCTGGGTCCACGGTATGTCTACCTGTCCGCTCTCCAACGAGTTCCCTCTCCTCTGGATTAATTCCCCAAAACGTGAGTTTCTCTCCAGCTATATTCAAACCTTAGTCAATTTTCCTACGGTCCCTGAACAGATCACTTTGACTTCTCCTTTAGGCTTTCCGGTTCACCAGTCCACTGAGTTCCAGTACCTACTTCTGTGTTTCATTAAATTTCAATAAACCTGTTGAACTGCTTCCCTTGGTCTCTGAGTGGTTCTCTGCATGTGGGTCAGATTGCTTAAACCAATTATGACAGGTCATGTAATTGCTCTTAATACATTAGCTTATATTGATCGTAAATAGACAGAAACATGGTTAGGCTTTGATTGAGTGATCATGTATTGATTAGATATGGTTGTTCTGTATCTTTATGGCTGCCTTTTTAAAGGATCATTTTACCTTTCCTACACTACAAAAAATTTTAATCGAAATAAGTCATTTTTTCTTACAATAAGTGCATTTGTTCTTGAATTGAGGAGGTAGGTCAGACACTCTGTCAATGGGTCGAGACAATTTAGATTTAAAAAAAGAAAAAACAATTGCCTTGTCTCATTTCAAGTACACATCCAATTATGTGACAATCTTGGCACTGGTACTGGTCTGATCCACTACACCTCCATATAACCCCTGTGCAGATCATCTGCAAGTGCCGGATTGTCTAAATCCTCTCGTACGAGCATTCCTTACTGCCTGTCTGTTGCCTGACCTGATTCTGCCTTCAGGCAACAAGCCTGCCTGTTCTGATTCTGCCTGTCTGCCAATAATTACCTTATTTACCTACTCAAATTAAAGGCCAAGACACTTAATTTAAGACATTTTTGCTCATTTCTAGATAATTTTTGCATTGATGTCCTCTTTGAAATGTTCATTTGATTTACTTTTGACCGCTTCCCAAAGCACCACCACCCCCAAACACAGTTGACCCATATCCCTGTGAAGCTCTTTCTTTGCTTTTGAATCTTCCAATAGTTTTGCATGAAATATATTTACCTAGACCTATAGGGATAATGAGGTACAGAGAGACTGATCCTACCTTTTTTTTGCTCGTCTGCCTCAGTCACGGCTCTCTTTGGACGCACCGCTGCTGTGCACGGCTCGTCTGCACACACGCATGAAAAGAACCAGCCTTATTAACCAATCAGAGCTGCCGTTTAAGGATTGACTGAGCGATGAACCTACTGCTGGATGCAGGGTCGGCATTGGCATTGGTCATGAAGGTGAGGCCAGCCAGTCTGAAGATGTCTGCGTTGTTTTTCCCGCCACCTCCTCCGCAGCCCAGGTCGCTCTTCTCGATGTGGCGCAGGACCTGGGGGGCCACCGTACCTCGCGTTAGAAGGTGAATAACACCCTGCACACCAAAGCTCAGACCAACAGAAGAAGCATGTTCAGGCAAGCAGAACGTTACCATGGAAACAGGATCCCTATAGTTGGGTCGTATGGTGAAGACACTAGAGTCTACGGCTGACAGCGCCACCAAGCTGCCCTGATTGGTTCTGACGTTCAGCTGGATGTTCTCATTTGGCTTGTAGGGCTTTTGTTGGAAGGAGATGCTGGTCTGAGGGACATTCCAACATGCATGTTAACCAGAGCCTAAAGGTCAGATGGATACCTCTGGAAGGTAGAGAGTCAAAATACAGCACCTGGAGGCTGTTGACACACTTGTCTTTGATGTCCATCCAAACAGAGTCGGCCACCAGCTCCCCTGTTCCTTCTCCATGCAGGATGTAGAAGACCAGCAGTCTGATGGATGGCACCATGGAGGAGGTCACCAGGAAATTCAGATTCTGTTTGCCATCAACGCTGGGGACAAAGTCCTGACTTTGAAAGAACACCACCTTGCCTTTAGAGAGCACCTGTGGGGAACGGCCAAGAAGCCGACAGAAGGTAAGGAAACTGAAAGCAACCAGGATGCGACCAACCATCTTCTCACCAGGTAGCTCAGGGTTCGAATGTTCAGGTAGGAGGGAGCCGCTGCGTACACCTGGATGTTGGCGTATTGCCCCACCTTCAGGCTGTGACCAAACATGGGCGTGTTGATGTAAAGGTAGCGCTGGTTTGGGGAGTGGTAGGCCACGGCCTCCAGGGTCAGACTAGCCTGACTCTGCGCTGGGAGGTTGGGGTCCGCTGTCTCAAACTGAGTCAACAGCAAGGAGAAAATTAACCCACAAGAAAATAGAGCAGAACACACAGAGCCACGAAGAAGTAAAGACCCAATCTCCTGCTTTCGTCTTACCTAATGTCATGATTTTAGTCCTGCCCTGTTCATGCTCATTCTCCCTCTCCTGATGATCACTGATTGTTCCCACCTGTGCTGCTCCCTATTTAAACTCCTGCTCTTCACCTGGTCTGTACGAGATCGTCTGCTTTTTCACAGCATTCAAGCTCTGTTTCATGAGCCAAGAATGATCCTGTTCCTTGACCCTGCCTGTTCCTGACCACTGCCTTTGCCCAGACTTTACCTTTGAGTGAGTTGATGATTGTTGATAAACCTTGCCTAACTCTGAGCCTGATTAAGCCCACAGGTTTTTGAAACTACTCTGCCTGAGTGATCTTCTCTGCATGACCCTGGACTGGAAAAGGATTTCAAACTGAAGGATCGTGAATGTCTGTACCTCTGCTCTCAGTAGCCCCCACCCCCCACAAGCCCCCAAGGTTCCCTTTCTCTATTGGACACCGCCTTACTGGAGCTGAACCTGGTGATTCTAGTTTTTATTTTTCAATCTTCTCCAGTCAGTACTTTCATTATTATTTTTTTTTTGTGTGTGTTCCAGGACCACTTGAGACACCCAATTCTAACAGGATCTTTGCTTTGATGTTTTCTAATAAATCTTTTACTCAATCTTTGTTGTTGGTTGAGTGTTGGGCTCAGGCCTCTTCTGAGATTGTGACACTTAAAGGTTTCACATCATCAAACAAAGTGAAATCCCGTGTGAAAAGTAATCACCCCTAAAGTTAAAAATGTGTTCCTCTTTCTACAGCAGCAGCCATCTGAGTCTGACCAATGCCGCTCTGCTGTCATTTAGACACATCGAAGCGATTGGTCTGATTGGCCTCTTTAAGGTCTTTGCGATGAACCTCACAGTTTAATTTAAACCCCGACTTTGACTAGAGTACCTTAAAGTCTTCGTCCTGTTTGTTAAGCTAATTCAGTTTGGTTTGGGAACTTTAGGTCAATGCTCTGTTGGAGGCTAAGCTCACTAAGTTTATTTCTATAGGGCCGATTTATCAAACATCTTCTCAAGATGCTTTACATAAAGACATAAACTCAATTTAAGTAATCCAATAGACTGACCTCACAGCACTGTAAGGAGGAGAGAAAGGACAGAGATCCTTCAAACAATAGATGAAAAGCTAGACGCTTCCTTTACCTTCAGTGTTGCTCCGACTGAGTTCTTCAGCGGGTTACAGATGTAAAACAAGAGGCCATCAGACCCACTGTTTCTGGACATGATGCTCCCACAGGACAAGGTCACTCTCTCTTCTCCAGTCAGGAGCAGCGTGTTCTCCACCAGACGCACCGGCACCTGGCTAACCGGCTGGTCCAGGTGATCCTTTACCAACACCTGCAGAAACAAAGATGCTGTGTAACATGTCCTCCTCAAGGATTATTTAAAGCAGTGTTTGTTCTCAAAGGTTTTTCAACTGAAGCACCTAGAAGTGTAGAAAATGTTCCTATTGGGAGGAAAACAACTTCAGTTTATCAAGGACATTTCCTGTCTTCTGTTCACAGCATGAGGGAACCTTAAGCAACTTTTTTATTTTCTTTCTAGATTGTTTAACATTGACTTCAGTTAAATTACTTTTTGTTTAGTATACTTTGGAGTTTGGATACTTCCTTTTTGTTTTTCTGGACCGCATGCGTAATACAAATCGTCGTTTCATGGGCTGGTCTCTGCAGGTTCAATCATTTAATATCTCTATCCAACATTTGCGTGGTAAGGACAACGTAGTTGCCGATGCACCCTCATGACTAGCATTTGTTTATTTTTTCTTTTACTCCCTGAATAGGTTGGGTTTTTTCGGCAATTTACATCAATCCCCGTTCAGAGTCTTTAGTTTATTTTAATGATTTTTAGTTTAGTATATTTTAGAGTTTGGACGCTTTTTTTGACCTCGTTCATTTGTGGCTGTATGAGCGCCTATAAATGGGCTTGGTTTCGACATATTTGGGATGAGCCTACCACCCTTCTGCTCGCTCGTCCATCACCGCCACCGGGCATGCATCCTGAAAAGGTGCCCATCCGTCTCTAGTAGCTGTAGGCCGCAGCTGACGTCTCCATCCTGCCATGCAGTATTTCTGTTCGGCGTTATTTGTTGGCTGTTTTAGTTTTTTTTGGCCTGGTAGGACCGGTTGTCCTGTTTTCTTTTTTGCAGTACTAGTAAGGGCTTTGACGGCCCTATATTGGGTTGGCTCCCTGCTGTTAAGAGTTTGCCACCTGCTCAATAGGGTCGGCCCCCTGCATTATAGAGTCTGCCCCCTGCTGTATAGGGTTTGCCCCCTGCTCTATAGGGTCGGCCACCTGCTGCAAAGGGTCGGCCCCCTGCTGTATAGAGTTTTGCCCCTAATTCTCCCACTCAAAGGAGCCAGGGCCCAGTCCCAATACTCCTACTCCAGAAGCCAGGTACCAGTCCCAATACTCCCACTAGACGAGCCAGGTACCAGTCCCAATACTCCCACTAGAGGAGCCAGGGCCCAGTCCCAATACTCCTACTCCAGAAGCCAGGTACCAGTCCCAATACTCCCACTAGACGAGCCAGGGCCCAGTCCCAATACTCCCACTAGAGGAGCCAGGGCCCAGTCCCAGTACTCCTACTAGAGGAGCCAGGGCCCAGTCCCAATACTCCCACTAGACGAGCCAGGGCCCAGTCCCAGTACTCCTACTCCAGAAGCCAGGGCCCAGTCCAAATACTCCCACTAGACGAGCCAGGGCCCAGTCCCAGTACTCCCACTAGAGGAGCCAGGGCCCAGTCCCAATACTCGCACTAGACGAGCCAGGGCCCAGTCCCAATACTCCCATTAGATGAGCCAGGGCCCAGTCCCAATACTCCCACTCCTGGAACCAGGGCCCAGTCCCAATACTCCTACTCCAGAAGCCAGGTACCAGTCCCAATACTCCCACTAGAGGAGCCAGGGCCCAGTCCCAGTACTCCTACTAGAGGAGCCAGGGCCCAGTCCCAGTACTCCTACTAGAGGAGCTGGGGCCCAGTCCCAATACTCCTACTCCAGAAGCCAGGTACCAGTCCCAATACTCCCACTAGACGAGCCAGGGCCCAGTCCCAGTACTCCTACTAGAGGAGCTGGGGCCCAGTCCCAATACTCCTACTCCAGAAGCCACGTAACAGTCCCAAAACTCCGACTCCTGCCCTGATGTTCTCCAACAGCACTGAATTTTACTTGTTTCTGACGTAAATTGGGCTTTAAAAAATGAGCTCCAGAGGCTTTGCTTAAGGAAACGTTGTTTTCAGCTCTAATTATCAAAATAATTCCGATTTTACAGCAAAGGTGTGAATAGAAAGTATTTGTCGTTGCAGTTTAGACATATTTTTTCTTGCAGCAACAGGGAAGAGTCCTCTCCCTTTTCACATCTCTGTTACAACATGGAGCACAAATCGTGTCCCACTTCTCTGTAGCCTGAACACCAGAACCTTCCATAAAGGGTTTACCACGAATTTTGGGACTGGGCTTCAATGTTACATTTTCTAACACCCTGGCTTAGTTCAGAGAAAAAATTGACTTCTACTGCCTGGTCCAATGATCAGGACCGGTCGGAGATGTCCATGCTTCATTTTCTTAACGAGCTTTATGGTGATGCTGCTTTCATTTTCCATCAGGACTCGGTACTGACCCACAAAGTTAATAACATTAACATACTGGCCTGACCTGAACCCTACAAAGAATCTATTAAACCAGAACCAGCACGGAAAGCAAGCTGGTCACCATCAAAACTAACTGGGCTTCATAAACACCTCAGCAGAACCACAGGCTGATGGCCACCTTGCCAAACTGATGCAGAAATACAGAAACACTGTCAGGTCGGATCCAAGGCGCCTACCTGGATGTTATAAGGAAGTCCAGGTTTGATGAACGGAGGAGTTGAGATGAGGCTCAAACGGTACGGAGACTTTACAAACTTCACTGTAGCAAACTCCGCCTCTTGAGTGATCCCACCTGGAAACAACGTCCCGGTAAAACCAGGGAATAGATACAGGGCTGTGGAAATGGATTCAGGGCGGCGTACCTGTGTCCTCCTTTACCATGACTGCTACGTACAGGTAGCTTCCCTCAAGGCTATCAAGATCTCTTGGTCCGCTGTGTTTCTGCAAAACCTTCTGCATGTTCACAGTCACATCCAGTTCACCTGTTGGAGACAGCTGAAAGAAAACCACACAAATCAAACCAGGTAGGTGTTAGATCTTTGAAAATGTCTAACATGGCCAAGGACCATCCAGATACTTTATAGAAGACAAAAAATATAGTCTGAAAAACCTGCTGAGTTTATTGTAAGCAAAAACACTGAAATAATACAGTGTTAACAGTTTAGAGTTGACTTCTGTGTTGAATCATAAACTGTTCGTCCATTCGCTTTGCTCTCTTTGCTCAACAGTTTGACCCTTAGTTCGTCCATGAACGTGCCTTTAGGGAAAACATTTCAATCATTTTCCAAAAAAGTTAAAAAACAATCCACTGGACTTTGAAGTCGTTTCTCATGCCATCCAGGAAGCTTTTTCAGTTCATAATGTTAGGACCAGCATTGGGTTGCGGGCTTTATAGGGTAGCCCAACAAGCCCTAGCGGTACACCTACACCTTATGGACAAAGGACCAGAATGTTCACATGTTGGACAAAGAAGACAGTTGGTTTGAGAGGGGCGTGAAGGAAGCCATCTATGTTAAGAAAGAGAAACCAACCTTACTCAGAGGGGGGGGACTCAGATTTCAGCTTTCAAAAACCTACAATGCAGCAATAGAGTTGATTCCTTCCTGCTATCATTGCAGCCCCGACCTCTTTACAGGAAAACTTGGAAACAAAGTCCAGTGAATTGTTTTTTTAACTTTTTCGGAAAGACTATGACCTGGATGACTGAGAATCTTCACCGGCACATTTCAATCACTTGTTTCATGCTCACTCTGATCGCACCAACAGACCTCATCCTACTTACCCGATCTCTGGTGATTGAGGTGGGAATGATAACTGGAGCATTTTTCCCTCTGACAAAACCATAACGCAGAAATAACTCTCCCTCAGCCACCGGTGCACCATGGAGATACCTTGGAAAGGGAGGTGTAGCGCAGGGTGTGACTCAGAGCAAATACAAGAGTTCGGTTTAGGCAAGTGGTGGAGCAGATGCCTCACCTGGCTAAAATCTTGAAGCTGAACTGATTGAACTGACTATAGCTGATGAAGTTGGTCTGTGGAATCATCTTGATGGAGAAACTAGGAAGGACTAGTTAAAGAGAAGATAATTACAAATCATCACTTCTACCAGGCTGGCTTGCAAAGCTCTCTGTGTCTCAGCCATACCATACTCTTTAACTTCAAAGTCTGTCTTTGCTGTTGTGGTGAAATCGTCCGTGTAAGAAGCGTCTATGGTCCAAATTCCCAACCTGGAATTACAGAAATATCAGGAAGGCCACATGGGAATGCCTCTTGCATAGGTCGGACTGGGCTTACTTTGGTTTGACAGGGATTTTAAAGGGGTTTTGCATCGATGGGATCCCATTGTTTACATCGATAATCTCTACGATGTCTACAGTGATTTGATCGGGATCCTGTCGGGACAAAGATATCAATCAGAGTCCAGGGCGCCAAATCTAAGCCCACCATGGCGTCCCTGGAGTGATCGAACTCACCTTGAAGGTCAGGTAGATGCTACGATTGGCCGGCCTTAGCTCCTGGTTCATGGAGAAAGCCCTCACCTTCACTGACCACAGTAAATAAAGACTGACAGTTTTATTCTGGAGACTTGATCAATTCACATGTGACACACTTATTCTCTAAATTCACAAGGATTTGTATTAAAGTAAACGGTGAAAGAAGAAGATGGGTAAAGGTTTAGTTTAAGAGGGAAGCAAGGAGCCACCTTTCTGAAGAGGAGTGTAGAGTGGTTTGTCTGTTTGGATGAACAGGAAGCCGTTGGACCGGCTAACTGGGATGGAAAGGGCTCGGTTGAACCCATCGGATTGGACATGAAGGATCACATGATTTAAATCCTTATTCTCGGGATGTGGTAACAACTAAAGAGACAAAAGCACAAGAATAAATTGTTTGGTAGATGCTCAGACATTTAAACTTCCTGTTAAAATTGAGTTTTTCCTCTCCACTGTCGCTACAAGCATGCTTATCGTGAGGGATTGCTGAAGAGTCAATGATTTGATGCAATCAGCTGGTTTTCCTTAGATAGAAAACTTTGAATCAATCTGACTGGATGATCTGGTGAACTGGAAAGTGACCTTAGATGACGTGATGTAAGTTGGAGCTATAGAAATAAACTGAATAGAATTTAATTAAACAGGATGTATTTTAACTGCAATCTCTCACCCGGACTGTGGCAATGCCCTGGTAGTTATTCTGGCTGTTCAACACCAGGGAGTCCTTAGAAAGTTCCCTGTGATCCCAAGCCATGGAGGTCTTCAAGAAGACGTAGACGGTTACGTCCCCTGTATAACCAAAGAGCTGAACAAACACAGTTTCTGTTGCATCCAGGCGCACCGAGAGCGGGGCTGTGACCAGAAAGCTGATGGACCAATGAGATATTGATTAGCAACAAACAGTCATCGTGGTCACCATACATTTTTCAAAACTCAGACTTCTTATAAATTGTTTCAGAATATGAATATAATTTTAAATTCAGATTTTACTGAGTAATTGTTGGTTGAAAGGCCATATAAACTCAATAACAAAATAGATTAATTTCCGTATCTACTATGGCAGGCCCTCATATTTTAGTAGTTTTGTTTTCATGTAACCATTCAGTGAAACGTTTGGGATAAATGTTAATTATAGCTAATCAACAAATGGAGGTTAGACAGAAGGTGTAGCTCAGAAACATCAGAAAACCACAGAGGATGGTTATGATTTAGGGAACATGGGGCCCTAGGCAAAGACAGGCAGGGGCCCCTCTGAATGGAGACGACATCAAACAGCCCCATTCTCCAGATAGAGAAATGTTAATAGAATAGACATCCATGATCTGTTCTAGGTTGTGTCCCTCTCTTCTTGTCCCTTTTCTTCTTGTTTTCCTCTCTATGTTTTGTACTCAGCTGACTTTTCATGCTGTCTCTAAAGGAATGAAAGATTTTTTCCAAGCACTAAGCTCACTTAGCTGATTGCTCCTTCCTGTGTTTCCAAAAAGGCCAAAGTAAATAACCCAGTCCTTCTTTTCACTGTAGACAAGCCATGATCTGCTTATCTGTTCTCCATTTTTCATTTGGATGAAATAATAGCTGCATGAATCATGACAGCAGACAAGATAGAGGAGAGCAGGAGGCGGGGTTACCAATCTACTCGCTCTGGAGAGCAGAGTTCGCTGCTTTTAGATGTTGTCTCCAAAGTCTCCAGTAGCAGAAAAAAGTCTCTAGATTTGGCGCTAGGAGCTTTTTAGAAATCAAAGTGCTAGAGGGGTCTGAAAAGTGGCTAAATATAGCGACTAAAGCGCTAAGTTGGCAACACTGCTCTTTGCATGGTTTGTTTTCAAATGGTTTGCTGCTGTCTGTTTGGACCTTTCTGAACATGTGCAGCAAATGGACTGATCCAATATGGTGGACACTGAAGGGGGGGGCTGAGACACACTTAATATTATCAGCGTTCTGATGGCATTTTAGCAAAAGGATTTTTATCAAAAACATAATTAATGTGCACAAATAAGGAATAGTTCTATTAACCATACATAGAAACAGAGTTTTAAGGGGCCCCCAGGAAGTTGGGGCCCTAGGCAGCTGCCTAGTATTGCCTAATGGTAAATTCCCCCCTGGTTATGGAACCAGTGGAACAGTTGGCTCTCTTGTTCTAACCCAGCCCAGTCAGAACTGTGGAAATGACTGTGGGCGTCGGGATGACCCCCCTCCTCACTGACACTCTCATGAGGCTGGACCTGCTGAAGGACCTACTGATCCGGTTCTATGATGACATTGTCCTCTCCTCACCCATCAAGGTCTGGTTTGGATCTGCTGCCAACCAGAACCAGGAGACGGGCCGAAGGACTCCCCTCTGGTGCTACAGTAGCCTGGTGAGACCATCCTGATCTCGCGAGCTTTCAAGGTTTCACTGGCAGATCAGTCTGGAGACTCTCCGTTAAAGAAAATTTGGAGCCGTTCACCAAATGAACGTCCAATCAGCGTTGGCTTTGAGGCGGGTTGAGGTGTGACGCAACGAGAAGCGCGACAGTTCAGTCTAAAGAACATGGCGGCTTCAGCCGATGAAACTAGCGTTAGCGTGGCTATCGAGCAAGTTTTATCGGAATTCCAGAGTATTTCTTCACTGAAAGAAGAGCAAAACACTGCTCTGGAGGCTTTTCTCAGAGGAAAAATGTTTTTGCTCTTCTTCCGACTGGTTTCAGCAAGAGTTTGATCTATCAATTGGCTCCTCTTCGTCATCGCTCTGTTAGTACGTCATATGTTTCGTTGATCTGATTGGTTTATTTGGCCCGTCTATCACCAACATAGGCCAATCAGCTAACCAGTATTTTCGCCCCTTCCCAAAATTACTTCAACGGAAGGTTTCCAGATGGATATGCGGAGCAAATCCATCTGGCGGAGTCAGGTTAATGCTACAGAGCACTGTGGGCCAGAACCATCAGGTCCAGAAGCATCAGGTCCAGGACCAGTTTCTCAGGAACAATCCCAGCAGGAACCAGTAGCTCCGCCTGTCTTTGGCCGCTGGTTACTGCCCACCATTGATTTATTTACCATGTAATAATTTACTCCTGCATCATTTGCTCTCTGCTTGCTGCTCTGCTGTTTCAAGCAGCTGGTTCTGATTCTGATCCATAAGGAAATCTCTCCTTCATTTTGTTGTTCCCAGAAGAACTTTTAATGATCCAGCTCCACCATAACCCTGGATAAGAGACCATTAAACATGTAACATTCCCTCCATCAGAATCTGTCATGTTTGTTGGTCCCAGAACAGAATCATTCAGATTAACGTCTCTGAGCCACCACGCTCAGACTCTCCCATCAGGCAGCAGGCCCCTCCACCTGCAGGGATGGCTCTCTGTCTCCTCCTCAAACACACGCCCCCCCCCCCCTCAGCTGGCCTTTTCATGTCATCTTCCCTTTTTTTCTTTTTCTTCTGTGCATCGGACGTCTGAAAACTTTCTTAGTTTGCAGCATAACGAACTTTAAAAGTTGCAGCCCGCCGTTGTCTGATCAAACCATCCTATGTTGGGTGGGGGGGGCTCTAATGGCTCCTTCTTTAAAGAAAACATATTACATATACCTAATGCAGATATATGTATTTAGTTACTCTAATATTTTTATCATTTTCTGAAAAATTACTTCTGCCTGTACTATTAATGGTCAGAGTGCCCGATTTTCGGCCCCCCTCTGTCCTGGGCCTGGGACCTCTGACCTGTCCCCCCCCCCCCCCCCCCCGTCAGCGAGCGTGCCGATCAGGACGATTGTAATCTAATCAAATGCTCGAAGAGAACTGAGTGAGCTTCTAGTTCAAAGGTTGTGAGCCAGGAGGAGACAACAACAACAATAGACGGTTACTGTAGAGGAGAACACATGGAGTCAGAAACGGGTGGGGGAGGGGGCCAAGAGGCCGACAGCCACACTGGACGAGCAGCAGGACGTTGGTTCGTCTGGACAGCAGCGTAAAGACCATACCCACCATGAAACTCGGTGGTGTGAGCATCATGCTGTGGGTTAGGGCTCATGAAAGGAAGAAGTTAGTTTAGCTGTTTAGAGGCCGCCAGCAGCTGAAGATCAACTTCAGGTGTTTTTATGATTAAAAAGAAGCTTTAAAGGAATGAAAAGCGTCGACTCACGATTGGCTCTGAGCTTCTGTTTTCCAACACAGACAACAAACCCAAACAAGCAGGAGGAACATCTTCATCCTGAAGACCGCGCTCTGCAGAGACCAGCGACCGCAGACACCCCGACCTCCACTCTGACGCCTATTGACCAGCAGAGGTCGGATATGAGGACGGGGGATGGGCTTTCCTCTGTGTTTGTGTCCCAAAGGTGAGTTTGTTCAGTCTGTGTTTTCCTGTCTTACCCAACACCGATGATTCACAGACCACCAGCTCTGTTTGTTCTTCACTGAAACCCACAGAAATCTGTTCAACTGGAGCTTTTTGGGTTTAGCAAGACCTCCACAAGCTGGAGACCAGCTTTCATCTTCAGCTCTGATCTCTGGACTTTAATGTTTGGGTCTGCTTCCTTACTGAAACCTTCCAGAGGGGAAAACTTGGAGAAGATCACTCACTGGCCAGATGACCAACCAGATCAAAACAAACCAAACAGTGAGGCCATTGCTGCATGCAGACCAGCAAACTTCAGCTTCTATACCTGCTGTCCAGCAGGGGGCAGCATTCTGGAGCTGTTTCTATGCTAGGAAACACAACAGACGCTGGGAGCAGAGTGAGTCCAGCTTCTCCAGGGCGGGGCCTCCAGTTCATCCGTTCATGCTCCTCATGTCTCATCAGGAAAAATTAAACATGGCCATCAGGTGCGGTGGGGTTTGAAATATGGCCGCCATCTTAAGCTACATTCACACAGCAGCCTGCAGTGACCCAAATCTGATTTTTTTTGCCCACATGAGACCTGGATTTGATCTTTTCATGACCGTCTGAACGACACTGATCCGATTCTTTCCGATGTGACCCAGGCTGCTTGGCTCATGATCCTGAATCCGATATCTGATCTTTCCAATGATCCTGAATCTGAACGCCCAGGTCGCCTTCATCTGACCTGAACGCCATTAATGCCCGACAAACGTCACTATTCTGCATCTTGCTACGCAGAAGCAGGAAGAAAAACAGCAGCCATGTTGGATGATAATAAATATCATTATGCTACCTTCAGAGCGTACGCAGCAGGAGCAGCTAAAACGCGCCTGCTGCTTCATTTTTGATGCTCGTTCAAGTTTAGTTCAGACGCACAGCTGAAGCATCTTTGCTGCTCGGTGGTAAAGTGGGTCTGATGCGCGGTGGGCGGAGCTACCCTTTCCTTTCTCTGCCTGGAACAATGGCGGCTATATTAGCTGTGATCAGCGGGTAGAAAGTAGTTAGAATCTCTGTTGAAGTGAGAAAGTCCTCCTGAAAACATGGTCTGTGCAGTCAGTTCATCCAGATTACCATCCTGCCTTCAAAGATTATTTCTCTGTGGGAGCCGCTCAGACCCCCACATACCGGCGCTGCGCTGTCACTGGGAATCCCCAGCAGCAGCTGCCTCAGGCCCGCTCGCCTCTCCAGGGTTTTCCCCTCCTGTTGGTGGCGGCTGGAAGTAGATGTTAGCGTTTTTCAGGTCTGTGCTACAAACTGCAGGCAGCAGGATAATAAAAGCCAACATATTCTGCCGGCAGGTTTCTACATTTGAAGTTAATTTAGGCGTTAATAAACTGTTTCAGAGGAGTGATCATAGCGCTCTGCATCAGCAGTGCTGCGTCTGACTCCCTGCCAGCTCCCAGATCAGCTTCTCTCATTGGTTGATGCGGCGCGTCCAGCAGATAAAGTTACATGTTTCCAACTTCAGCAGCGCATGAGGCGCTGCTCCTGCTGCAAGATTTTCCTGGATCTACTTGCTCTCCAGAGCTAGTAGATTGGTAACCCCGCCTCCTGCTCTCCTCTATCTTGTTTGCTGTCATGATTCATGAGACATTCATCATTCCTTTAGAGACAGCATGAAAAGTCAGCTGAGTAAAAAACATAGAGAGGGACAAAACCTAGAGCAGATAATGGATGTCTATTCTATTAACAGTTCTCTATCTGTAGAATGGGGCTGTTTGATGTCTTCTCCATTCAGAGGGGCCCCTGCCTGTCTTTGCCTGGGGCCCCTGCATGATCGATTTATTATGTTCTGCAGCATTTAAAGCCTGTAAGGTTGAATATTTTCCTGTTTTGTTTGTTGAACATCTTTGATACTGACAGAAGGTCAGAGACCTTCCTAAGATGGCCGCCTGTGGTCTGTGTGTTCTTAATGTCTGCTGGTTCCAGAGGAGCGATAAAACACCAGAGGATCATCTGCAGGAGGATACTTTATTAAGCCTTTATGGGACCTGATAGAGGTGATTACAGAACAATAACTTTCTATACATGTTTCACACACAGGTTGGAATAAAGTGACAGCAGAGTTCAGCTCAGGCGCGTTCATCTTCATCCCAGGAGAACATCAGGGGGTCTCAGATAGAACCCTGGTCCTGGTGCTGCTAGAACCTCTGGGTTCTTCTGAATGGATACGTCACGACAGGGAACCAGAAGCATGCAACGCAAACACGACATCAACAGGAGGACATTCCTCCTCATGCAGCTGGATGGGTCCAGAACCTCCGCATCCTGCAGAGGGAGCGATGGAACACCCCCCACCGGTCCGTCTGCAGACTCTGGCCGCCCAGATGTGGCAGAACCTGCCAGCTGTTGGTCGGATGACAGAACCAGGCGGAAGGAACCGACCAAACTGGACTGGTGAAGAAATGTTGGTTCTGCTGCGGTTCTGATTGGCCCGGGCCTCACAGCACCATGGTGGGGATGTGATGGACCAGGGAGGCGGGGTGAGGCACGGCAGCGAGCTGGGGGACACGGGACGGAGGCGGGGAGGGGACGCCGCCCCCCACCACCACCGGGGGGCCGGCCTCCCCGCTGGGCCGGTGCCGCGCGCTCTTCTGGTGCGCGCGCAGGCCGGCCAGCTGGGAGTACGCGGACTGGCACACGTGGCACTTGTAGGGCCGCTCCCCGGTGTGCAGCCGCACGTGGTTCCTCAGCGTGGACGACTGGCTGAAGCGGCGGTTACAGAAGCGGCAGACGAACGGCTTGTCCAGGGTGTGGATGCGCATGTGGGAGCGCAGGTTGCTGCGGGAGTTAAAGCCGCGGTGGCAGATGACGCAGCGCATGCGGCCCAGGCTGGAGGAAGAGCAGGAGGAAGAGGAGGAGGAGGAGGAGGAAGAGGAGGAGGAGGAGGAGGAACCTTCACAGGTGTGGAAGTCATCTGAAAGCAGGACAGGAGAAGACATGGTGATGATGAGTCCAGAGCCTTCCTCAGCATCAAACGGATCATTTCATATTTTTCTAAATTATCCAATTACCAGCTTTGCTCTTCTTCCCCTGCTCCTCATCCGCTCCTGGAATTCCAGGAATTCCCAGGAAGGTGTTGTGGGAGTTTCCATACCAGACCAGCAGCTCCTGGTCTGGAGGGATGGTCTATGAACAGAAACAACAACAAGGAGATTCATTCAGACATTTAACAACTTTATTTTATTTCATGGAGCTTAATCATTAACTTTTTTTTATAATTCTTTTTTATGTTTTTATTGCAGCTGCACTGAAAACTATAATTTAAAAAATGGATTAAAAAATGATTTTATGGGGATTCGGTTTATTTCCCTGTTACTGCCAGCAGAGGGCGCCATGCACCAGGAGATCCAGAGGTTTGGCTCCAAATTACAGACGGAGCGGCCCTCCTCCTGCACCTCCTGCACCTCCTCCTCCTCCGCTCCACGCGGGATGATTCTCCTAATCTTCAAAACCCACATCTGATTTTTAAAAACTGATCTTTATTATTTTTTTCTATTTTTTGGGAGATTCGGTCTCTGAGCGCTGGCCTTATAGGGAGGCTTTACTTTGAGGCCCCTCTGGGGCCCTCTGAGGGCCCTCTGAGGGGCCTCAGACTCGCGGTTGAAGTCGTCGAGTCAAACCGGTTATCAGGTTATGTAATCATAAGCGCGATTTCTTATTATTAATTATTAAATTCGATAAGTTTGAACTTTTTCTGTAAAAATCCTCCGAAATAAAGTTTTTCAACAAACTGTTTCATTTGTTAATAATTCATTATTATTATTATTATTATTACTATTATTGCTCTGTTATTTTCTCCATTTCTTCTCCATGAAATTGTTATTTTTATTTTGCGCATTGATTAAAAAAATAAATTTTATTTCTATAGAGTACACAATTAAAGGAACAATTAAGACATATTTGTTTAACTGATATTCTTTTATATTTGTGACGTTTTTTCTGCTTTAACACAACAAACACATTTAAACGTTTGGAGCAATAATAGAATATCTTTATTTAAAATAATTTTAGATGAATTATTAACATTAATGTTTGAATCTTTGTTTTAACTTAAGTTGTTTTATAGAGATTATATTTTTAAGGTGAAATTAATGTTCTTTTAAATAAATTAATCAGAAAAATTAATAAGCTTCAAAAGTCATTTAGACTAAATTTGTTTAATTTAGAAACATTTTATAATAAGAAATCTAAATTAAATGTATTTATAGAAATTTAGAACAAAGTTTCTAAGCTTATTTTTCAAACATTAAAAGATTTTATTTTTATTGAGATCAAAGGAGCCGAATAGATCTGGAAGCAAAATAAAATGAAGTTTTATTTAAAAAGATAAAAATCCGAAACATGCAAAAATAATCTGAATTGATTTTATAAATAAAATCCCATAAAGCGAAACATTTATTTAGAAACCTTTAATCTCTGTTTTAATCTGACTTTGATTCTTTGTTTTTTCATAAAATCAAATTTAAAAAATGACTAAAATAATTCAGATCTTTTTTTTTTTTAGATGAAATGAAATGTTTGTATTCTTTATTCCTCCTGCAGGTTCAGGTTCTGGTTCTGGTTGTGGTTCGGAACTGACCTCCACCGCCTTGTAGAAGATGCTGCTGCCCATCTGGACCACCTCCAGGTTCTGCTCCTGCTCGTTCCGCGCGCACTTGATGTAGGTCATCCAGCTCCTCTGGTCCTCCTGACTCGCATCGATGAAGAACCGAACCGAACCGTCCTCATTGAACACCTGAGAGGGAGAGGAAGGTTCTGGTTCCGATGAGCTGATCGGGTCGGCGGCCTGACTAAAATGTTTTCACTGAGGTTCCGGTTCGGTTCGGGCGGATCGGTCCGAATTATTTATCTTCCGAAATAAACCAGACCGGTTCGGAAAAAAAAAACATTTTTTATGTTTTTTCCTCCATTAAT